CATACAGCAGCGCTGTGTGGTGAGTCTCAGTGTTAGAACAAAAGTCGAAGACTTTGCCATCTATCCAGCCTCCATTTCCTGTATGTAATCACTGCAATCTGCCAAGCCACCTGCAAGTGTGGGAATTTATCTGCACATGGTTTTCCACAGAGTCCCACTGACTGATTTACAGTGTAACAAAAAAATGGACACATTGTCCAAAATGGGAAGTTTTAGTAATAATCTTCAAAAGTAAAAACATTTACTAACGTAGCTATGCTTTTACAGTTCGGGTGAAAAAAACTGAATACGTTTCATGCTCTGTAAAAAGCTGGATATTAAAGGTGCAGAGAAGTCAGGCTGCTTTAAATGCAACAATTCAAATCATTTCAGCGACATATTAAAGTGATAAAGGGAAAAAGAAAACATTTAGCTGGAAATAATTAAGAACAATAAAGAAATCCTAGAGTGGACACAGAAACACCTCCGTCAGTGACTCTGCTTCATCTCTGCATCCACAAATATAAGTGAAATCTGCAGCCTGAAAAGAAAAAAAAAAACATATTTAGAAGCACAAACGTACCGCATTACTGCAGTTATTACCTCTGCCATGTTTTTGGTAATGTTTACGAGTCTGTGTGTGTGTCATTCTGTCTGTAACACATAGTAACAGCTTAGCAGTCCAATAACATTTGCCTTACATCCACCAAAGTCTTCGAGGTCAAACTATGGTGGGTCAAATTGACAGAAAGCCTTATAACTTAGAAACTATGATTCTTGTAAGTGTAGTGTGCATTGTCAGCATATAGAAAGTATCATATAAAGATTTAAATATCATGACACATTTGACGTGTGACCTCTCATTCAATGTCAATAGATTGAGCTGAAAGTCAAAGTGATAGTAATCCCATACAGAGTGTTTATTCAAAGGTAAAATTATAGCCATTGTTTGTGCTGACAAATATAGACATATAGAAAATAATATTATGGGATTCTAAATATTACATTACTTTGGACCTCTGATCTCTTCAAGGTCGAATAAGGTCAAACTTTTTTTAAAAGCATTTTATTTTGAAAACTATGCTTAAAATTCTACTTCCTTTGTTTGCATAAAAATCACGTTGTCACAATTTACCTCTGACCTTACTTTACGATTTCACATCTGCCTTAAAGAAACTATTTGGAAAGAAGTTTAAAGTACAGTGTAATTAATTTCAAGTAGAGTGTAATTTAGCCGAAGAACAATGATCTTATATTGTAAGTACACTGTACTTTTCAGGATGTGTTATGGAGCAACCTGCCTTTTTATATCATAATGTTTTACATTGTTATTTAATATTTATTCTGCGGATGCACACGATGAATAGTGTATTATTTAATTCATCTTTTCTTAAGATTACTTAATTTACTTATAAAAATTGCTTATACACAAATAAGTTACATATCATTTGCTTCTGCTTTCTTGTATAATACCTGGAAGTTAGGCAAGGTTAAGACACTTCATAATGCGTCACATGCAGAGAAAATTAAGATGCTTTTACCAATTACCAGGAAATTAAGCCGTTTTTAAAAATGCTTACAGTATAATTATTTTTTATTTCTTTGTAAAAACCTAGTGTACCTATTTTTAAGTATTCGTAACAGCTATAACTATGTTGCAATGTGCATATTAATACAATTACACCTTTAATGCATCGTATCTAAAAAATAATAGTACTCAAAATTATCTCATGTGTATTAAAGTATATTAAAGAATTAAATTAAAATTATTATTTTTTAAACAGGGCAAATAACAAAAGCCTGTACTGCAAACTTCTTATAGTCAGTTTAAAACAAAGAAAACAAAATTATTATGCATACAAAATGCATTACTATTCCCTTAAAAGCAAATACTGCAGAGAGTGTGAGCTGCCTGGGCAAATGTTTGTAGTTTGCAGTGTTTTGCCAGAGTAATACTGTGTGAATATAATAGAGGGGGGAAAAAATCTTACTTTAAGACGTGCGCTTCTCTTTATTCTCTGAACACAGTAAGAAAACGTTCGTGCAACATGTCAGTATATATGCTAGTATTTCTGAAACACATATCATACTTCTCCAATGTATGCTCAATCATCCAACTATGTCCCACTTTTTGGGGCATACTTTTCCAAGCTTGTGAGAAAAGGCACAGCGATCCATACAAAACTAAATGCATTTATATAATGTAAGTCTAGTGTGAATGTCTATTGTATGTTCCTCATTTTCTAAATGTTAAATGTAGTATTGCTGGAAACAGTGTGGCTGTGAGCGGAGACAGCTCCATGGAGCAGAGCCTGAAAGTGACAGACTCCATAATAACAGGATGTTTACAGCATGCGGAAGCCCTGCCAGGGACAACCACAAGCAGGCAGCAACTTTGGCTGTGGCTGGAAACACGAGTGAAGAGGAAATGCAGGCCGGCCAGATTCCCTCCAGATGCACCGAATATAACCTCACTGACTGCTGTTTTGTTTACACAGAGTCTCTACCTGCTTGGGGTCTGTTTAAGTCTTTCTTTTTTCCACAGTGACCCCTGGAGAAAGAAAACACAGCTGTATGATGGCACACAGTGATGGCTGATGGGGTCAGCTGCAGGTGACAGTGGACAGACAGAAATTGATGGTTTCTGACATTTAGGGTGGGTTGAAGCTTGTTCACTGTCACCAGCTGTTTCTTTTCGACCATCAGTGTTCAAATTTTGCACCAGACATCACTTCTCCAATGAGCACTTGTGAACTTGAGTAAATAGTAGTGTAGGGTGTGAATACTTCCTGTTCGCCATAGGACAAAAAGGCCTTCTGTCACCTGGTGGGTATCATCATTTCATCTGAGTTGATCTGATCAGATTCCTTTGGTGTAAAGAATTTTATCAAAACAGTTATAAAAGAGAGCTTGAGTGTGTCTTTAAGCTTTTTGGACCAGGACAGAAGTGGCTACATAGAACAGGGTGAGTTACAGTTGAGTCACATGCACAGAAAGCATTCTGATCTGATATATAAAATCACCTTTTGCCAAGACAATTTTAGTGTGTTGTTTGTTTCTGTGTTTCTTGTTCACTTGTCACTTCACTGCTCTCGGTCAGGCTCTTCTTGGAGAACTCTGTGAAGGAGCAAGACCTCTGACCCCAGCAGACACCAGAGCTTTCCTCCTGGAGGGAGACTTGGATGGTGACGGTGAGATCGGCTGGGAAGGTCAGTGTGTCTGAGCACAACTAACCAAAGATATAGAGTTCACATTTTTATTTTTGTGCTTTTTCAGGCATGTGTATTTGATTTGATGCCATAGTCACACATCTGTCTGCTTCCCAGGTGTTGCTGCCCATTCTAAGCTTGACATCACTTCCGCTTTCCCACGATGTAAAGCTGATTGTGACATCACTAGTCTCGTCCAATCAGCTTTTTGCCAGCCTTCTTTGGGCCAATCAGCTGTGATTCTGTGTACTTTAAATCTCACTGGACATTAGTCATTGTCCCTTGCAGATGCCTTCATGCAACCCACCTCCTCCCCATCATCACCTCTCGCTCATCTTTCAGGCTCCATTCAAGCCTTCATCTTCATCTCCACCACCAGCATCTAGACTCCAGGGGGTCCTACCATAATCCCTATAACTGCTGGGATTTCGTTCAGTGACGCGCCATCGGAGTCTAACCACCAAATACCTCAAACTGAATTCTGTATATTAATAAATTATGTTCAGTTCCATCATAAATGATCCCTCCTTATTGAAATGAAGACAAGCACTCCTATAGAAAACAGTAGGAACAGCTTTAAAAATAGGTCTTTAGTCATCACATGTTTATTATATAATTCAATTCTAATTTATATTGTACCATTATATTTATTCGCCAGCCTTGTGGTCAGGTCTTATTCTGAAAAAACAAAAATCATTTTCACACTTTTTTTTCTTTTTGTGGTTTCTTTGTTTATGAAAATAATAAAGCGCACTCATCATTAACAACAATGAGCAGTGATTGCAAAGAAAAATCTTTTCCCGATTATGTCCGTTGTCATTTTGAATCCCAGATCCCAGGTGCTGGTATCAGTGGCAGTCACCAGCTATAACATGATCTCTTGACAGTGATCTGTCAACCTTACACTGTCTTTTACTTTGCAAAGCTAAAATGTAGCTGGTGTCTTCATCTAATATTTTTATTTTTCAGAGTTCTGGTCAAGTCTGCACAAGATCTGAATGATTTACTGCATGGGGATGATCCTTTTCCTACAGTAAACCCCAAGTTAGATCTCGCTTCTCTGCTTTGTGTCCCTGTTAGAATATATGTTTCTTCATGGTGTGACTTTTACTAGCCAGTGAGAGACACAGATGAGTAGTTACAGTAAAACCTATTGTTTTGATGTTATATTGAGCACTGGGTCACATCCAGGCTAGCCAAGGGGGTTGGGGAGGAGTACACAGGAGACTTTTGAGTCTCCACTTAACCGCACGTGCAATTTTCCAATCAGCAAATGAAGTCGCCCCAGTTTAACACTCCGTGCGCAGTAATTGGTGTGAATATGTTTACATTTAGATTCCATGTGTTCAGTATTTATCCCGTGTTCCTTGAAATCATTTTAAAGAGGTGATTGATTGATTTGCTATAGATGCCAAAAAAAAAAAAATCATCAAGACTACAGATGAGCCATTAGAAGAAATGGTTTCTTCTGCCTTTACATTTTACATTCTCGTACAGCTAATGCAGCACAAGGCTCTGGGTTAATATAACTCCTTATTTTAACAGATCGACTGCATGCATTCATTCCTACTTTAGTATCTATGGAGAATATTAACAATTAAGGTGGGGATCGTGCAGTTTAATTTTCACTTAAAGTTTAACGTTACAAGAAAAGATATTCAGCCAGCATGCAACCAGCTTCAGTTAGAAAACAGTTTCCCAAGCATATCACATCTATTTGGTTTTTTCTTATTGTCTTTATAGATGAATGCTGGACAAAAAAGCTAACTTGTTACAGTTCGATGGTGAGGGCTCAAGCGCAGGACTCCAGAATCAGCTGTACACAATAATTTATTTGCAGAATCCACATTGTGTATTTATGGGAAGTGCAGGGCAGTGCTATATACAATTAGGTGAGGGACGGGGCTCCGGGGAAATCCACGGGGGTAGTCACGCATTCTCCAACTCTCCACACTCACAGCCACAGGTTCACTCTTCCACACTTGACACAAAGAATCGCACGGGGAGGGAATCCAGGAGGTCTGTAGACGGGGAGACGAGGATTAGTTACACAGTTCACTTTTAAACACTTGAGCTTAGCTTAGCTGTAGACTTGACATTCACTAACGCCTGGCAGACAACAATCCAGTGAAGAACAGCAGTCACCTCCTGCCTTAAATGCTGACCGCCCTGATTAGGCTCACCGACGGCGTGAACCCACAATGACTTCCGCCTCGGCGATAGAGAAGAGGAGAGAGAGAGAGTGGAAGTTGGAGAGAAAGACAGAAAAAACCTCAGATCAGCTGGACGACATAACTACATTATCACCAAAAGGAATTCAGATTGTTAAGAGTATAAATGGTCGTGTAAAATGGTGCTTTACCACTAAAAGTCCTGCATTTATTTGTAAGTAACAGAAAAATGTTCATCAGCTGTTAGTAAATTACTCATTAATCGTGGATAATGGAAGTAAGATATACCAGTGTAATCACAGACACATGACTACAGAAAATAAAATAATGAAAAAATGAATAAAATTGCACTTTTAAAAAGCTAGAGATAGAAAATTTCACTAAACTTTTGTTCATAGTGAAAAAAAAATTGTATTACATTTCCACCAAACTGTTTCACTGCAGTAGTAAGACGCAGGGCCAGATAGGTTGGATCAATACTAGTCCAACTTTATTTCTTCTTCTTCTTCTTCTTTTTTTAATCTTACTTCAAACACTACAGACTAAAAAAAGCTTATTGGTGCAAATTGCACCAGGGGTGCACAAGCAGGGCACAGTTGGCTCATGCAACTGATCTCTGGCAAACAGGAAAGTGGCTGTGAGGTGACTGGGTGTCTGGCAGAGCTTCGGAGTACCTGCATGACCCAGCAGAGAAACTCTGCGACGGGATTAAATTTCTGATCCGACGCATTTACAGTTCTGTCAATGATGCACATTTATTTGCAACTTTCTCCCAGACGGCGAGTCACTCACCTGACTGGCAGAGGACAGAGCGACAGGAAACAAGGGTCACTTCTATTTCTGCTGCAGCACCAAAGAGCGACCTTCTGCTCTCAGGCGGAGATATTGATTCAATATGTGCACTCTTCTGCACACAGAAGGCAAAATATCTCTGTGGCCTAAACCCATTTCACAGGATTTTCTGAAATGTACATTTCAGAAGACGTCCTATGATCATTCGTTGCTGCTTCAGATTACAGGCTTGATGGGTTTCATTCCTGCTGTGAGATATTTGTAATTTAAGCCTGATATTGAAGAAGGGCAGAAATAGTTACAGTATCTATGGCTGAGTCGTTTGAGGTGAGAGACCTCATTTGACCACAGCAGATGTTAAACGCCAAAGATTAGTTTTTCCAGAGTTTTTAAGAAGTAAAGAAAAAGCCCAGTGAAACACATTTTAAGTACAATTTGTGGCTTCTTGGACAACCTATGCCTGAAGACATTTCTGTGAAAGACTTATGGAGAACTGTAGCAGCAGCTAAACTAACAACGTATTACGTGTCCAGAGCTTGAAATTAAATATGTTTAATATAGATTCTGTTATGATTTGTACACACAATTAAATTCTGCTGGTATTTCAATAAAACTCCTCATCATCTCAATACTGCCACCTGATGTAGAATTACTGCATAACACCTGGCTATCCTAAAAAAAGCAAACATAATAAGGAAAGTCCCCAGGACTATCCCCGTTTAATTGTCATTTGTTTTGATAGTACGTGAGAACTCGGTGTCATTATGCAACCATCCGGTGCCAAACTGGATTAGTTAAAAGGATGATGATGATGATAATGGGTGCGATGATACCGAGGGTATCAGCTTTCAGCGTGTCCCCAAATAGCACCACAAATAGTTTCATCGCCATATGGAGAAATGGTTTGAATGGATGTAAGAGGTCCAGAAATAAGTTCCGGCATGAGAGCCGGTGGCTGTATGTAGGTGCATGATGATAGTGGTGATGTACTATTAAATTAAAGCGTTTCAATTAATCCCTGGAGCTCCCCACTTCATATAAACGTCTTCCTCCTATTCATAAGACTATAACTCACAGTTTGGCGTGGAAAATTATCATAACATTGTTTTAGTTCAGTATTGCTATTATATACAAGTCCCCTCTACGCATTCACGGCAATAAAAATGAATGAAACTTCAAAAATTGGGGCACAATGTGCATAAACATACATACGAATTAGGAAGATAGAAATCATAAAGACTCATAGAAACCGTAGTCCATAAGTTTGACGTAGATTTATATATATATTAATAATTCATATAACAATCATACACACATAATTGTTTTTATCAAAGGAATAGATAAGCAGGACAATGTTTTTCTCCATAATATAGTAGTATAATAGCTGATCAGCCTAGTGTTCTCAATGTTGCCATTATGTGAAGCTAAGAACAGCTGGAATAGGGAAAAGTGTTAAAGGCATTCCCCTGTTGTGGGCTAAAAATCCAAAGAACAAATAAAGAAATGAACGTTTACATTTTGAACGTGGTGTTTTAACTTACGTAGGTTTTCGACTACAACGTCCCTACCTGCAGTGATCAATCAGACCAATCAGCCTGTTCTGACATTGGAAGGTCAGCAAAGTCATCGCAGACGTTTTACGCACGCCAGTTACGCACAAGCGCCGTTTCAACCAAACCGTGATCAGCGATGATGGTGTAAAAGCACAGAGATAATATTACCAAAATGTACTGAGTGTTTGGGGGGGTTTACAAAAAAACAACAACAACAAAAACACATTGCTTTATTAAAGGAACTTTTCTGAAGGTTATTTAGAACTAAAGCTGGTGAAGATAGCTATTTAAGGTCATTTAAAGAGTTCATAATCAACACAACGCTTTTTCACATTAATACATTTGTCATTTAAACATGATTAAAGACAGCGTTTGAAACGACATTCATTAAAGCGCAGTCAACAAGTGAAATTACATAAACACAGGGCAGGGATAGCTCAGTAGGTAGAGTGGTGGCCCCATGATCGGAAGGTCGGGGGTTCGACTCCACTGAACGGCTACCCTGAGGTACCCCTGAGCAAGGTACCGTCCCTACACACTGCTCCCCGGGCGCTGCACTGGCGGCTGCCCACTGCTTCACTGGGTGAATGGGTTAAATGCAGAGGAACTATTTCCCTATGGGGACTAACACGCACACTTTACACACTTTACACAAAGCAAAAACAAAAAAATAATAACAGTATTAAGTACGGTTGACTTGGAATAAGACTTTCTGGCTGTCAAAGATAATATAAAAGTTTACCCCAGCTTTCACTCTGACGTGTTCTGCACACTTTAACAGGCTGCAGAGTATGTTTCAACCAAATCAGCAACATATATTATTAGCCTTATGCAATATTAAGCACTTTCACATAGGCCTACGCTTAGCCTACCATTTAAGCATCTTCATTTATGCTCATATAAATAGAACAGCTCTGTCTACTGGACACATTTTTTGACTGACTGCTTTGCACACAGTGTCTGTTACATAGCCTATGCATCATATTTCGGGTGAGACAAGGTATATAAGCTGGTGAGAGTCGCTGGGGGCTTTACTGCAGTCACCAGATTCATCTGAGCGAATCCACTCTAGTCTTAGCCAGACCCTAAGGTGAGTTTCACTGAAGAGTTGCAGACCTGTAGGCAAGTCCACTTCCTGACTCAGAGAGTTACAGGGCTTCTACTTCTTCATGCAATGGGATGTAAATCATGTCCAGATTTTGAACATCACAAGGCCAGATTTCAGCTTTGGACTAACAGAGGAACGAAACGGAGAAAGAGAAAAAAAATTCAACTACAGATGCAAAGGAGATTTAATCTTTTGCCTTTTGGAGGGCTTTATTTTGGAGAAATTGGACTACCTTTTGTGGCTTGGAAGACTCACAGAGAGGGACTGTGAATTATACTGCATGGCATAATGAGTATTGCATGAAGCTCTGTAACTCTGAGCAGTGCACTACAAAGTGCACTGAGGGAAGTTAAAAGGTGGCCTTAGATTGAGAGTAAAGCTGCTTCATCGTGTCAGATTTCCCCACAGCCTGACTGACTAACCGATGACTTGTCCTCTTCTCTCCTCCCTCAGTTAAAAAATGGCATTCGCCGGAGTCCTGACCGAAGCTGACATCACTGCAGCCCTTGCAGCTTGCCAAGGTAAACATGATGAAACTCATAGCATTTTAACCTAGGGAAAGCCTAGACAACAGCCAAACTGTGACTGCAAAAACTTCGCATCCAGTTGCAAAATATTATAAAAAAAAGAAAAAAAAATCTCAGGTGTCTGCCAGTAGTATAGAGAGCTTTAAATGGCTGTATGTCTCAGCATAAAGCATGCACCAGTGCATCTACTGTAAGAAAAGCTGACCTGCACATTAGAAAAAAAGCTGAGTGATGGTCAGGAAGGGAAAGTGGATACAACCAAATGCCAGGCCTTACATGCAGAAACTACAGCCTCTGCAAAACACACCACAGCCTGTGTTTGTGCTATAACCTCCCTCTGTCCATCTTTCCACAGCTGCCGATTCCTTCAAGCACAAGGAGTTCTTTGCTAAGGTCGGCCTGGCAGCCAAGTCCGCCGATGACATCAAGAAGGCCTTTGCCATCATTGACCAGGACAAGAGTGGCTTCATTGAGGAGGATGAGCTGAAGTAGGCACCCTCTCTTAAATTTCACCCACAAGCTCCTCAAAGCTCTTGTAGCACTGGGATCATCTTTCTCTGGCTCACAGTGAAATCAGAATGATGTCAGAGGCCCAAAAGCATCTGAGAAGCTCGGGCTACTGGGTGTTCTCCTAGACTGCAACTCAATACCAGTTCTCTCCTTCAGTGCCTCTCGCTGTAGGGTGACGTAGAACAGAGGACAAAGGAAAGGAATTGTAGCCTGCTTACATTTTTTTCATGACAAAGCCCAAAAACCTCAGCATCCAATAGAACAAGAAGCATTCAGTTAGAGATATTTAATATGCTTTTTGAATAGATGATCGGTTTAGCACAAAATATTCACTGTGATCCCAGAAAACAACTGTTCAAAGAAAGGCTTCTCTTTTAAAAATAAAAAAAAGCTCATCTTTTGTCTCTGATTACCCTCTCCAGGCTGTTCCTGCAGAACTTCTCTGCCAGTGCCAGAGCTCTGACTGATGCTGAGACAAAGACATTTCTTAAGGCCGGTGACTCTGATGGCGATGGCAAGATCGGAGTTGATGGTGAGGAAATCTTTACCTCCAGAAGAACAATGTAAAGGCCATCCAACAAAAGAAAAACAATAACCTTCTTTCTTTCTTTCTCCCTCTACAGAGTTCGCTGCCATGGTCAAGTCTTAAATGAATGAACTGACCAACTGACTGACTTCACAACTCTAAAGGAACAACTTGAATCAAGACATCCTTTTCCTCTCTTCTTCTCCTCTTCCCATTCACTCTCTCTCTCTCTGTCTCTCTTCAGTTCTCCACACCACTTTTATACACTCAACCTTTCACCCCTGACCATGGACAAACTGCTCCCTCTCTTTCTTTCTCTGGCAGTGCAGACCCCAATGCTGTCCACGATGAATGTAACCAACTAAGTGTATAGCGTGGTTGACTCGTGTCTTTCTCTCTCTCTCTCACTTCTGTCGTCGTTTTACTGTGACTTCTGCTTTCTGTGAGATCAGTGATGATGCACTTTTAGGGCAAACGGACGGACGATGAGAAAACAATAAAGGTTCTTTTTTCAGTAAGACAAGTCTGACCCTGTTCTTTGCTATTCAGTTGTGAAGTAGTAAATCAATGATAGCTTCTTTTTTTTTAAAGAAATTCAAAAACATTCTTTTAAATGCATGAGAAAACTTCTACATGTAACATCCACCCACCCACCTATCAATTCCCCCATTGCCTGTGAATTGGCTCTTTAGGTAATCTTTAGGTAATATGGCTCAGATGTGCCTATTTTAAGAAAATAAATCAATGCTAAACTTTTAACTAAAATGCTAAACAAGTAGGCGAATGTCACACAGACAGGTAATTGACTCTGTATAAATGATGATCATAGCCAACATAATGTCACCCCCATGGGTTTGTATAGTCCTGTATTGAAGTCACGAGTTCAGAATTTTGCATCACCATCTGAGATTTTGGAGCCAAACGTTGAATAGGTGATGGATGGGTTAAGGGGGATTG